CACACACACACACGCACGCACACACGCACATGCACACACACACACACACACACACACGCACGCACGCAGTCGGAGATAGCCCCTGCTCCCACTGTTAGGAGCCCCACGGGAGGACCAAGCTGCACCGCTGTCACATGCAGGGGCCCAGGTCAGTCCCACACAGGCTCCCTGGCTGTCGACCAGTCTGTGAGAGCCCCGTGAGCCCAGGCTAGCTGACTCTGTGGGTTCTCGGTTGTCTCTGAGCCCTCCGGCTCCCACAGTCCCCCCCTCTTCCCCGGCTGAGTCTGCATCGGTGTCCACCGGTGTCCATCGGTGTCCATCGGTGGCTGGACGACGCCTCTCTGATGGCGATGCTGCCCCCCGCCAGCTTTCTCCCAGAACCCAGGACCCCTGGCGGGGTGGCCCCACCCACAGAGGGCTCAGGCCTGCCGTGTCAATCACCGTCAAGGACACGCCCCACAGCCCGTCTGCTGGTGGCGTGTTCTCAGTTGAGGCCCCGCGTGGCTTCTCCCTCAGGTGCCCTCAGAGGACTCGGCCGCACCGAGCTCCTTGCGGGGGAATTGGGTTCGGGGACAACGTGAGGGTGGGGTGGGGCATAAAGTTCCCGAGAAGGAGGTCACATCCGCGGGGGTTGAGCTCCGTGGTGGGCAGAGGCTCACTCAGCGCCGGGGGCAGGAGTCCGAGGCTATCCTCTGCTCCACACTGGATCTGGGGCCAGCCTGGGCTACCCGAGAGCCTGTCCGAGTGGGGTGGGGTGAGCAATCTTCCCGTCTGTGGGTCCTGGCAGCTCCTCCCTCCACCCTGAACCTGAGCGGAGCGCACCGGAAGAGGAAGACCCTGGTGGCCCCCGAGATCAACATCTCCCTGGACCAGAGCGAGGGCTCGCTGCTGTCCGACGACTTCCTGGACACCCCCGACGACCTGGACATCAACGTGGACGACATCGAGACGCCGGACGAGACCGACTCGCTGGAGTTCCTGGGGAATGGCAATGACCTCGAGTGGGAAGGTAACGGTGGGGCCGCCCCGTCCCCCTCGGCTTCCTCCGCCCCGCCGGCCCCGTGGCCACCTCCCCCCGGCCCCGTGGCCACCTCCCCGCCGGCCCCGTGGCCACCTCCCCCCGGCCCCGCATCCTGGCTCGGGAGGAGCCTTGGCCCGGGTCCCGCAATGTCTGGTCCCGCAGAGCTGGGATCTGTGGGACCGGATGGATTCTCACAGACGGGACGTCCGGATGGACACCACCCACGGGGGCCGGGGACACCACCCACGGGGGCCGGGGACACCACCCACGCGGGGCCGGGGCAGCGGGGACACCACCCACGCGGGCCGGGGACACCACCCACAGGGGCCGGGGCAGCGGGGACACCACCCACGCGGGGCAGCGGGGACACCACCCACGCGGGCCAGGGCAGCGGGGACTAGACGTCCGGACCAGCGTGAGGCCCACATGACCCGGCAGTGACGTGTGCGGCTGGGTCCCCGGGGCTCCTGCAGTCAGGGCGGCCACTCCCCGGCCTCAGTCAGCAGTGACCCCGTGACCCCTGCAGGGCACCGTCTTCCCGCTCAACACCCAGGGAGGGGTGAGCAGGGTTCAAGCGCTCCTGGCGGGCAGCTAGGGAGGGCCGCGCGCTGGGAAGCCCTTTAACCTTATTTATCATTCATTATTTATTTGCTTTTTCTTTGAGACACAAGGTCTCACTATGCAGCCCAGGCTAGCCTCGAACTCTTAAGATTCGCCTGCCTCTGAGTGCCGGGATGATTTAAAAAAGGAAAAAGTAGCCGGGCGGTGGTGGCGCACGCCTTTAATCCCAGCACTCGGGAGGCAGAG